GGTGGAGGTGATTGGGCAAGACAGATCTGGTCATGATGACGCCAAGGCAGATGTACCAGCAACATAGATTGGAGGGTCAACGGCAAGACAGATGCTGTAGAAATAATTGGACTGCGAATAGACAAAAGGACAAATGAGGAATGTGTTTTCCCATCTTTCTCAAAGAAATAAGGAGAACGATGTGGTCAAACCACGCCTGCATAGAAGGAAAGCTCATTAGGAATGTAGTTTTTTATCTACAGTTTCTACAGAGCAGCCCCCTTTAGTCAGAGCTGTTTTTGAAAAAGTGAAGAAGAAAGGCTATGCTTATGGTGCTGTTTCCCTGTTATTTCAGAAAGTAACTATCAGAGCACATCGAAGTCTAGCGCTGCACCTTTCCTATCCATCACTTACGAAATAACAGGTAGGTGAAAACATTTTATACAACACTTCCGTCAGTAATGTGTATCAGAGGATGATGGGAATGGGGGGAGTCTCTGTAAGTCCCCTGATAGGATCCTTAAACCATCTAGGAAAGAAAGTGGCGTACTGTTACTCTCTGTATTTCTGCTTTCTAGAAATACGTCAGGCCATTCCATGAAATGTAAATTATTTCATGTTTATTACCTTTCCTTAATATCACTATTTAGATATTAGTTACAGACAAAAATAAAAACATTTTTAAATTACTGACTTCTAAATGTTTCACCAGGCATTATAAAGAGGTCTAAAACATTTTGTTGTGGACTGTTTTTGAGAGGAATGAAGCTAGGTATGAATTCTTCTCATGACTTATGATTTCTCAGTATTCAACTTAGCTAATTTGAATGCGATAAACAAAAATGGAATTAAAGCACATGATGGTGCACTTTGGAAACACAGTCTATACACAATGAAATGTAGAAAGCCTCGCAATGAACTAATAGAGTAATTAAAATGTAAGTAAGCCCTGCATGAATCAGACAATTCTTGTGAGTCTGTCCTGGGGGATATCTTATGGGAGAAAGACTGTTACTCTCTGAAACTTCTCTGTGATCGGTGAAATGCTAAATAGAAAGTGAGATGCTAAGTGTTTCCGGTGATTGGGATAAAGGCTAATAAAAACTCACCTGCTGGGAATTAGATTAAGGTAGTTAGTGGTCTACCCGGAGGTAACTGCAGCTTTTTACTGAAGCCAGAATTTACTGAAGAGACTTCAAGAAGTACTCAACCAAACAGACAATCAAAGAAGAATCTAATAAAGCGCCTTAAAACTCA